TTTTTGTTCTAATATAGTTCTAATAAAATCAATTGCAAGGATGTAATTACACAAAAAAGGCATTAATATAACATCCCTGTCATTCATATTATAAGTATACAGTACATAATCCAATTGCTAGACTTAAAGCCAACAAACATTTTGATTTTGCTGTAAATATACTTCTGGAGGGCAGAGTAAGTTGAAGGTCCTTTGTAAGAAAATATATAACTTCTAAAAGACTCTTAAGAAGACTTTTAAATGACTTAAGAAGGCTATTTTAAGAAGAGACTAAAAAATTAAAAAGTAAATGTCAGTATTCAGAAAGAGTGAAAAGAACAGGAACTTTCTTTTCCAGTATGTAAAATATAGCCTTTATAGATTTTACAATGCACACTAATATTTTTTTATTTTGTCACACTATTATAAGTAGACATCTGAAATCACAGTTCAGTCATTTAGATCCTACAGATGTTTTACAGACAATATAATGTTTTTAATGTGTATTTTTTTTTCAAAATATAATTTTAAATGTCCTTTCAACCATTAACAGAGAATTTCGTTTTAGAACTTTCACATGAATAGAATTCCTGTGAACATTCCTTTTGAAACGTACAGTTTTAAAATATTAAAACACCAGGTTTACTTTCGTTTAAACTTAACTGATTCAATACTGACAGAGGTTTGTTTTTAAAATCTGATATATAGTATGGTATAATTCCTAGTGTGAAATTATGCACTCATTGAGCATATTTTAATGAGTTTGTTTTGTTTTAATATATTATAAATAAATAAAAATATTATAGTATAATTCCTAGTGTGAAATTATGCACTCATTGAGCATATTTTAATGAGTTTGTTTTGTTTTAATATATTATAAATAAATAAAAATATTTCTTTGATGGACAGAAAACAGATCCCCAAGATTTGAATTCCACTGCTAGTACCAGCACAAAAGAAACTCCTTCTCAAAAATCTGCCAAAAACAGTGTGTCTGAAATATTGAGAAAGGCAGAAATAAAATATTCATCGACAAAACATCTATCTTGGACACCAGTGAAAAAAGTTAAAAACCTGTCCACTCCAGACATTAAGGTAAAAGTTTAATTTCCCTTGTTTTCTAAGTGGATTGTATTGTCTTTTTTAAAACCATTTAGCCAGAAAAGCTGCCCTTTGCTTCCACTTTTGAAGGTACTTTTGATATACATATTATTGCCTTACATGGTATGTTTTGTTTAAATATGACTATTAAACGTGT